ATGATTCTTGCATTGCATTTACTAATTGCTTTTATCTATCATATTCTCCACCCAGGAATCTTGTCAGCTTTCAGATTCATAACGGGTTGGCGGTCTGTAATACTAGTAAAATTGTTGCCCCTTAGGATGTGGTTAAAAGTGGCAAGAGTATCAATTACTACAAGGACCTTCTTGTTTGTAGTTCTCTACTTTATTTGTGAATTTATAAACTTCCTATTGTGTAATGCTACTGGTCTTGCCAATTCAGGCAATTGTCCTTGTCCAACCTATGCTCCAACTCTAACCTACTATGTATTAGTAATCAGCCATATTGGTTTCAGTTTACTATAGTCAATAGGCCATATAACATTGGCAGTTTTAATCAACTCCTTAATGTTGTTTAAGGGTTGATCATGAGTAGGGGTCCAGACCAATTTCCCCATTGCCAGTAAGGTCCATGAGTGGTGTTGTAAAAGTGGCATAGTACAGTAGAAATAGGAAGATGTAGTTGACAAGTGCCTGGAACTGCATGGGTTCTTTCTGATTCTAGCGTGTTGTCTACTCTGTTTGAATATTATACAATATCTTTCCAGAGACAGCATGTATTCATTCACTGTCTACAAAATACTGTAGGATCTCAAGCTTATTGGCAAATAGAATGGATTTATTCAGCTAGCATAGAATTCAGCATTTCTTAACTTCATATATACAAATCTGATATTATATATATAGCCTTCCTCAGAGATCAAGTCGAGGAGGATATTGTCAATGTATATTTATACAAAGTGATAGAGCTATTCACTTAGCAGATTTTCTATAATTTGCATGAAGGTAATGGAATCATTCATATTATCCTGTAACATAACTCGGCTAATGAAACCTCCAAAGAGGGTCTTAAACTGTTTAAGTGTTCACTTTCAGGATTTAACCTAATTTGAAAATAAGCATTGCTTGTGTCAATGTTGCTTCAGAATCTAGCCTGTCCAACTACATTTAAAATCCAGGTTTAATTTGGAATAGTAGAACTGTCCATAACAGTGTTATCATTCTATAATTTGAAATCAATCAAGGAGCAGATTCTTATACCATCTGCTTTAGATTGGATGAACAGGTATACAGCACCTGGTATTTCTACTCAGTAGATCATTCCTCTTCTCTTATCCTGATTTATCTAATTGTATAATTAGTCTTTGTATGCATCGGGAATGGAGTAGGTTGGTTGGTTCTTTTGATTAGAAGGGTCCCATAGGCAGATGTAGTAGTTAACCTCTCACATAAGTGGTCGTTCCTCTGGAATCAGGTCCAGAAATACTTCACAATAATCATCCAACTGGGGTTGAGCAGATGCTTTATAGACTGTTGCTTAGCATTCTCCTATTGTTGGTTTTACATGAAATTCTGACCTTCCATTCTGGGAACTCAATAGTAGATTCACCACATTTCATTATAGCTTCATGGCCGCTTAGGAATAGCATCCCACTCAAGGTATTCTATTTACCTAGGTTTCTTACTATGATTTCTTGTAGGGGTAGAGTAGTGGATTCAAGTTGGATACTTATACTGCAAGTCTTGTGGCCTGTAGATCATGACCTTTGACTACTAGATTGACTGGTATGGGTTTGTAAAGGTCTCAGGTTAGAAGACTATAAACTAAGATGAAAGCATTACTAATCATATCTGTTCCAATTGTACCTATAGCAAACAAGACACAGGCCATCTCACTATTGATCATGATCACGCCTTCTAGAGTACTGTGGGGTCTAAATGCGAAGGGTAGTTAGACACTGTTACATTGTATATCAAGCTATCCAATAGGTCTTTCCTCATATTCTGTAGTTTGGATATTATTGCTATCGCTTTTAATGTCGATAGCTAATATGTCTTGTTTAATTACTTTTCTCTTGCTCTTCTTAGAGGGACTATTCTTTACCATATGTCTAGTTTTTCTACATTCAAAGCAATTACCCTTCTTGCTTTTGGATTTCTTAGTTGATTTCAGCTTCTTCTTAAATGATCTTGGTAATTCTTCTTCAGAGTTATTAGAAAGATTGTGTCAGGATAGCCTAGTACTACTGAAGAAGGCCTGGGTCTTGTATACCTTAGTTTTATAAAGTACAGCATTCTTTTGTACTGCCTTTGCGATTATTGTTAACATATCATTGTCACGAACGTGGCTTAGCGAGGAAAGGGTTTTCACGTGACACATGGTTATGAGTCACAGGTATGTTATTGTTTCACGTATATGACCTATTTGGGTTATATGATTTGTTACGTGTGGGATTTGTGATGCTTTCGCACATGGCTCAAGTATGAGTCATCGGACATGCGCCTGACAAGTATGCCTTACGAGCGTGCCTTACGGGTAAGCCTTTGCTCATATGATTTATGTTTCGCACATGACATCATTATGATGTCATGGGTTTAGTGCATATGACTCAGTCGAGTCATATGACTTGTTTATTGCGTTATGATTGGTTTATGAGTTTTGCACATGACCTCACCATGAGGTCATGGGTTTTAAGCATGTGATCACTTTGGTCATATGACTAGTTTGTTATGATTTAGTTTCGCACATGTGACCACTTTAGGTCACATGACTAAAGGCGGGAAGAACACTATATAAGGAGGCTGATGCGGCAGAGGAAGATAGGTTCTTCACGCTTTGTTCTAAGTACTTTTCCTACTTATTACTTTAATGAATATAAAACACCTTTACGATCTTTATCTTTATTGCAACGTTATCGTTACACCAAAGAAGGCGCTTTACGAAGAAGAGTTAGATAAAGCTTACGATAGGCATTCCCGGTAGAAGACAAGGGTCTTGTACTATCGTTAACGTAGGCAGAGGCCTAGAGCTATCGTAAGTCAAAGGAAGAAGAAGACAGGAAGAGAAGTATCGTTCCCCATCGCCAAGCATTAACTATCCAGAGAGGGATCATTACAATCATCACCATCTTCTTCGAGTGGTTCCACTTCTCACCCGAGGGTAGAATACATGGTATCGTAGTACGGTCACCTCAGGATATAACTTAAGATGCTTCCTTTCTTCTTTCAATTATTTTATACCCGGAGGTCCATGATTACATCCATAATTCACTCTACCTGTACTCCATTGACTTTGTAAAACTCAATCAATTTATTGTATAATAGGTCATTGGTGATAGAGAATTGAAATTGATACTTGAGGTAATCAAGTATTGTTATTTCTTTCAGGTTTTGGTTTCTATCATATTCCTTATAGCATTAGAAGTACACATCCATTGCCCCTCCTTCACAGAATGATGCTATATATAATACACTCATAGGTATTTCCACATCTACATTTTTCATAATAAGGTAATGTGTAAGCTCAGTTGCCCATCAGTCAAAGCCTTAGGGTTTGAGATCTTTTCCTTCACATGAGAACTTCGGTCATAGGTGAAGCTTTTTTCCTAGTATGTTGGGTATTTCAAATTTCTCTTGTTCCTCAGGTTGAGTCCTTGATTTTCCTCCTCCTGAAGGTTCATCTCCTGCACTAGCCATATCAGATTTACCGCTCGATTTGGGTTATCAGAAGGTTCAATGTAGGTTTCTTTGTCAGACTAGGTGGGAATTCTACCAAGAGACTTGGTGCTTCCATGTTTACAAGTTTGTCTTACTTTTTAGCAGAACACTTGGGTTATCTCTTTCTTGTATGGTATTTCCTTCAGATCTTCTTCTCACTCCGAGTTGTCAATAACTCCATGTTGGTGTTGAGACGAAGCCAAATGTGATGTGATTCTGCTGCTTCTCTCTCCTCGCCTTCTGATGTAGATGTCAACAGGTTGATAAGGCCTAAGTCTGGTGACAGGTTCTTAACTACTTGGTAAAGATATAAAAGTATAAGGTGTTTGCAAGGTACTAATTACATTTTAGGACAAGGTATAATAACTGGCAAGTGGCGTGCCCTACCAGAGAGAAGGTAATCGCTGAAAACTATACAAGTCTTCAAAGATGTACTGAGAAAACAAAGAGTAACAGTGCAACCAAGTCTATTAAAATACTGTCTGTCAAAGCCAGCCTTTTCCATTGTACAATCAGGCAGTCTTTAAATATACAAATTTGTTCAGGTCTAGCATGAACAAACCTAAGCAAAGATATTAATCGATACACTTTAGTAAAACTACTTAAGTATCAAAATGATACTTAAAACAAAACATAAAATAAAACTAAGTATCAAACAATACTGAAAAAAAAGCCAAGCACTCAGGCGATTCTCAAAACAAAATACAAAACAAAACTCCATACCGAGTACCTGTACCAGTTACACTGAAGGCCATGGGGGATAAAAATAACACCAAGAACTATCTGAAACACACCAAATATTTGTTAATTCTAGAAACAGGATCCTACTAGAGGTGATTTCCTTGAATGTGAGATGGATTGAGCTGCAGGTGCTCAGACTCAGAGGACCTAGTAGGTGGTAGACATAAAGTGTTGGCATACTGTCTCATGAGCCTACATTGCACATTAGTATCCCTTGGGGGGTCTGAAACAGTAAAGTTTGTTGCCAGGTAGATGAGTAACTTCGCCATTGTGGTTAAGTTACTCGGCCACTTACAGGGTTCTTACTTTGACTAATGAGAGCTCAGTTAAACAGTATACAAGTCACTCAGCCACCTGGCAACGAATTTTACTGTTTCAGACCCCCTAAGAAATACCACCCATAAGCTGGCCACTTTGTTTACTCACAAGAGACTACTGGAATAATTGTCAAATAGGCTGAAGTTTCAGAAAGTGGTATATTTGACTTTATAAATCGAAAACCATCTATTAGAAGATAAAAGTGAACCTTCTGATAGTAAAGATTTTATTATCAATCACTGGAGAGAGGTACTTAGTTGTATAGTAGTTAGAAGTAGTGCATAAACAAGCAGATGCAGGATATAAATATCATAGTGCCTCTTAAGCTTTACAGGCATCATCAAGCATTGGAGAAGAGATCTTAACAATATAAGGTTATTGTATATACAAATATTTATCACGATACCCAATTGTCCTCCTAAACAAGTTCTTTGTTGTTATAAACATAAAGAAAATTACCAAGCCTTCCTAGACAATCCTTGTCTCCACAATAGATTCCTGTATAAGTCTTCTCAAGGCATACTAGTGTTGGCTTCCCCCTAATAAGGATGAATGTGATGTTAGTACCACAATGGATGAGTTAACCTCATCTGTAGTAGCTCATTTATCTTTTTCAACTGCAAGGGAGGAGCCGATGCGGTGTTTTTAGTTTTTTTGTCTGTAATTTGATAACATCCGCTGGAAAATGCATTTCCCATTCGTCAAAAAAGTAGACAATAACCTCTAGATTATATTAGTACTCGTGATTCTCAAAATCAGTTAGGCGGGACTTACTCCAAACTCAGCAGTACCGGCAACAACAAAGGCAGAAACGTGCCAACCAATTAGACGCTGCCCCGCCTTCATCGTTTTGAAATCCGTTTTAGTTTCCATGTCCTGTTCATAAGCCTCCTATTGTCAGAGTCAGCAAGCTGTATTATAACTATAGACTATGAAGAAACAAAAGTAAAAACCTTGCGAAGATATCTCAAACTGTGCAAAAAATAAAAAAGTATCATAACCCATCACACTTTCTTGATCTAACCTTTGTGCCCTCTCCTCCAGATCTCGAAGCATGGTCTCCACTTCAACTAATGGTTCTTCAGAAATGAGACCCGCCTTCCGCCAAAGCTTCATCAGCTACAGCATTGCCAATAGATGATGAGGACAGCAATACCTATGACGAAAAAGCTCTGATGGGAGTAGCTAAGCTCTGTTAGTGGCTGCTGCGCTCTACATGTGACGCCCGTCCTTAGTCAGGACGGCCGGGCCGTGCCGGGTATATGTAGGTACCTACAGGTGACGCCAATCCTTACTCAGGACGGCCGGGCCCTGCAGGTGACACCCCTCAATTCCAAATATGGTCGGGCCCTACTGGAAGTTACTGTTTCCCAAAACAAGACTACAGGGCCCAGCCGTCACCTACAGGACTGCGATCGTCATCAAAGACGGACGCCGTGCCCCGCCGTCCTTACTCACCCTGCCCGGGACGGTTGGGAACACTGCCTCCATCTACCACCACCCACCGTCCCCCACCGTCCCCCACCATCCCATACCATCCCATACCATCCCCCACCATCCCCCACAGTCCCCGGCCACCACCCACCGTCCCTCACAATCCCCTACAATCCCCCACCATCCTCCGCCATCCCCACCATCCTCTGCTATCCCCCACAGTCCCCCACCACCCGCCGTCCAACCCCCCTGCCCTGAACGAAAGTGTCTCACCCTGTAGTGCCCGCCGTCCGACCCAAGACGGCCGTCCTGCACTTTAACCACCCTGGACGGACTGCAGGTTGTGGTCCCGTCCCGTCTTGGGCTCTTGGCTGTCCCCTCGGACCGTTGCGAACGCTAATGACTGGCCGAAAATGAGGTGCGGGGCTGGTGTCTCGCTTGCCCGCTGTAGCCGCTCCTAATCGCAGCACCCACCGGCGTACCTCTTCGCCCAGCGCTGCGATTACGTAGGGCATCTCGCCCGAGGCAGCATATACGGTGGGGTTAGGAGTGTCGGGAGCTTTGGGGGTAGTGAGAGTGGTGAGAACGGTGAGAACGGTGAGAACGGTGAGAACGGTGAGAACGGTGAGAACGGTGAGAACGGTGAGAACGGTGAGGGCGGTGAGGGCGGTGAGGGCGGTGAGGGCGGTGAGGGCGGTGAGGGTGTTAAGCGTCGTAGGGGTGCTGCGGATGCGGAGAGTGTTGAGGGTGGTGGAGGTGGTGGAGGTGTCATGCATGGTAGGGGTGCTGCGGGTGCCGGGGGTGTTGAGGGTGGTGCGTGTGTCGGTAGGAAAGTTTTCGGTAATAATGCTCGTGGGGGGCTGGCCCAGACGTTCGTTGAGAGTGTAGGCTAACGTCACTCCGAGGTCTTTTAAGCGTGTTGCCATGGCCGCACCGTAGTGATTCATGAATTTCCGCTTGTGGTTGAATGTAATTATCAAGTCAGAAATCAGAAAAGGGAAGCTGCGGAGCGTAGGAGTGTATTGAACAAACTTTTCTCTCCTCACAATCGTTACAAGGCATCTTGGTTAAGAATAAAGATAATAATGAGGATAATATGTTGGCGCTAGCAGTATCTGTATGGCGCAGTGGTAGACGATTGAAAGATATTTCACACAGAACCTAGACTCTTCGCTCGTGCACTCTATATTTTCTCTAACGCATGCTCTGGTAGAGGGAAAACAGGTGGACTATATACACATCTGATGTGGCCACGTATGGTGTACCACAGAACACACTAATACCGGATGTGACAGTAATTTGCCGAACATGATGTCACTCACCGGATATGACAGTCACTCTTAGCCGTTCTTTCTAGTATACCATGAGCCCATTACCATAGACAATCCCTCAGATCCTCCCACAGCGTCATCCTTCCAACATAATAGTGGGGGATAAGGATGGGGGATAAAAATGTTCTGCATACTCGCAACGCTGGAGGGAGAGGTATGCCGTGTCAGGGAGGAGTAGGCGGGGTTGTCGGATGTCCGGTGATCCAGAGTAGGACCGACGGGTGGGATTGATGGAGGAGGGGGTGAGATCCCCTGAGTCGGGCGTTTGAGGGGGATCCCTTGGAGAGGAAGGGAAGGGTGGAATCCCCTGGGAGTCTGCGGAAGGCTGAAGATATAGTAGTTCGAGGTAGGGCAGTCGGTCTGCACCCTAACCAGCAAACTTACAGTTTAGGTGGCTAACTCAACGGAGTTTTCGAGTAGGGAGTTGGCAAGCCAACCACCAGGAAATAGGAGCCACTACAATGCCTGATCATCGCTGCCATCTCATGACGAACTTGGATCACTTGTACTCACTCACCACCCCGTTTTCTAGATCTTCCCTGATTGAAAAGAACTCTCCGAGCCCTTTCATATCAATTGCAACCTTCTCCGCACAAGTACATAACAAACAACAAAAAAAAAAGAAATTTGGATAATGAGCTGGGTAGGTGGGTTCTAATGTCAAGGTCGCAGGCCAGCGCTAATGAGCCATTTCAGGCCCGGGAAAATCGGTAAACCGGACTGCGGTCCCGGGTGCGGTGAGAACTGGTAGGTTCTCGCTCAGCCATCTCATTTCTTCAACTTTCTGTCTAACGGATATTAGGCAAAATTAAAGACAAACGATCGCGATTGTGAAGCTGAAGCGCTCCAGTTCAGAACTATGGAGGTTTCCGCGACAAAGCCGCAGAAGGAAGCAAATGGGTATCCAAATACCTTGCGAGGTGCGACTTGATGATTACTGTACCTTGGATATGCAGTCGGCTAACATTCCACCATAGCCATGACTGCGTCTCAAATGAGGATTACCGAGACGAGAGATGTATTCCATGGCGATTCCGGGACCCGTGAGGAGTTAGCTGCACCTACAAGCAAGCTGTGGAAGAGCTCAATGGTGACACTATCAAGGCTCCAGAAGTCCCTTAGAGGACCACTTCCTCAGAACCAATCTCTATATTCTGTACTTACTTCCCGGCTATTAGCGAATGTCTCAGACTCCCCCGAGATCCCAGTTTTTAATCCATAACTAGAGGGCTCGTGGGTTGGGTATAAGAGGGAGAAATCACAAATTTCTTGATTGCACTCAGGTGTGGGGGAAAGGTCAGAAAGCTAGTAGAGAAGCCTGACAAAGATCACGGAAAGCTGCCTAGAGAACGTTACCATTCGGCGAGTTTCAAGACTTAGTGCGGTACTAACACTCATCGCAGACCGATAAAGAGGCACGAGCGGCCCGTGATGTCTATTCAGCTCTCAACGAGCAGCTTACCATGGAATTGCACCACTTGATCTATCCCCTAGTATCCTAACTCGACCCCCCATTTGAGGCGCTCCTGGAAATTCTACCTATATGCAAGCTCCCCACCCTTAACGACTCTCCGGACACAAGTGATTGACCTCGTTGCTCTCTAGCCTGTCCAGAGGCATACTCCAGAATGGCTCAAGTCCAGCAATACCTAGACTCGAGCACCAAGCCAAAAATACACCCAAGGCTACGTTGACCAAATGGTAGAGCAAGCTCTGTAAGAAATATGTGATGTTAGCATTTGAGGTGTTACATAAATGGGGTATATTAGAAGGGATACGCTGTGTTCTCCGTTGTTTAGTTGATGTACTGTACCGAGAGTTATGATATGCAGTGTTCTCCTTTCTTTGTTTGATCTGGTATAGCGAGAGCTAGTTTGTAAAAAGGAATTTACTCTAGAAAAGAGAAACCAAAGTTTGTGCTGATACAAGTGTAGTGATCGATGATGTATGTATTTGTCCGGCCTTAGCAGCCTCGAATCAGTATACGTATTAGGCAAGGTAAAGTAGAGTGCTCAAAATCTATCACTCCTACGCTTCCCTACTCACCCCTACTCCGAGCGGTCATGAAACAAAACGGAAAACTAGAAGCCACTGAAAAAGAAGTAGCACATCCCATACTCACCGCTATTCACTTCCCCTGAGACACGCAATTCCATAATTCCCATCATTTATACATCTTTGGCTTCCAACCCCTCCCCCCCCAACTCCTCTATCCACCTCGCTTTCTCTCCGGCCTCTCGGACTTACTCTCGATTCTCTCCCTTACTCGCAAGATCTTACTCTGCAAGAAGAAACTTCAACCTTTCCCCCGCTTCCCTACATACTGAGGAGGGCCCTTATACGCCAGACTACGAGCCCAAAGATTACTGTCATTTTCTCCAACTCGGAATTGGTGGACTTTCACTTTCAAATATTTTCTCGTTTGCCGGATGATGGTTCACATATCAACTTCCAACGACTACCTCAAAACCTACGAAACGCTCTGAAGGCTCCTAAAAGACTCTGCAAAGCCCCATGCTCCAGAAACCAAACCAGCTCCTTCCTGAAAGCCACCCAGACAACCTCCACCGAACAACCCCGTAATCGCCAAAGCCTCACGCCTCAATCCACCGTCCTCCTCCACAAATTCCATGGCTTCCTTCCGCAGCCAATCCGAACCTCCAACCTCCGCTACTTTGCTCATGCAACCTCCCCCTCTCTCCTCCTCTGCACCGATGTTGCTGCCTCGGGCTGGACCTCCTGAACGTTAACGTAATAACCTAATTTCACCCTCCCTTCTCCCTCAATGACCGCCTCCACCTCATAGGCAGGGCGGGCTATATTGTTCCTACTTCCCGAGATAGTGAAATGCTATGTCGATCTAGTTTTAAAACAGTATGGAAATCCCATGTGCACAGACATGGAACGGTGTTCTAGAAGGGCTTCGGAAGGGAGCTGTGAACAAGTGGGGGTGGGAGGATAAAGTTACAGGGTGGCAGTTGGAAGTAGAGAGGTGGGTGTTGGTGGACAAAGAAGTGATGGAAATAGCAATGAAAAACCCCGGTTGAAGCCACATCCATGTGTATACCACCAACATTGCCTCTGAGCAGGGTATGTTCAATTATATAGCACTGCATTATTGACATTTGACGAAGTGTTTCGGGATCAGGGATGCCCCAGGGGATATTCGAGTTCCTGGTGGTGGCGCAACTATTGGTGGGAAAGGGAGGGGGAACACTCCAGGTTCGGTGGCCAGTGTTACCTTCATCAAAGCGGGTATGAAAAGAGGCTTAGGTATGGAAGCTTGACCGAGCGATGCTAGCCTAGAAGCAGTAAGGAAGGTGGAAATCATCGCTTTTAGCAAGCGGATGGAGAAGGGGATGGCTTCTGAGTTTAATATCGGGTGAGAAAGGCTACCAATCCGGTAGACATAAGGAAAATTTGTATATTATAGTTATGATACCTCCTCTGAACATACAAGCCCGGGTATTACACTGCAAGGGATGCAAAGTGGCCCATAGTGGGGCCACGCTTCCCTGGATGGCGCCGGCCCTATCCTGTAGATTTTGGTATATTATCATAATATTATCCTAAATTCTCCTCGTCCTTCCAAACCCAAACGACGAGGTACGAGTATTACAAAGTAAAATCCGTTAATATACAGGATCAACGGTTTTGAAACTTATACCTTGTTCAGCACAGTATGATAACTCACTTCCAATAAGCACAGCTCCCCAATTTCCCAAACATGAGTTATGGATGGCGCGACCACCGGCACTACGACATTTTCGTCACCATGGACATTTGAACAACCATTGTCCGATATATATTATGGTATACGGAAGCGATTTCCCGCCTGTCAAATGCTGTAAGGAAGCTTCTCATTTTCCATTCTCCCTCACTTTCCCCCCTCTCTCCCCGGTGGGGATATACCGAACCGTAAGTTACAGCTAGTGTGAGTATAGCAGAGGTGCAAAAGAAAATGGTCTCTAAACGTGGATCTTAGGGAAAGTTATTTGGCCCCATCAATTTAGGTGTAGTTCTCTTCATCAAATAGGGATCGATTTGTGATGTCCATTAAAAAAAAGATAATAGACTAGACTACTCCTGAGATGTTTCCAATGTCATACTCCCGCTGTAGTGGGCATTTATAAACCTTCCCGTACTATCCATATCCCTACCTGTACCGGCACCGTATTCGAAAAACTTAGCTGAGTGGATGAAGCTTAGGGGAACATACCGTAGTCAAAGGTGCTGCACCAGTACTAGACAGAAATAAACAAAGAAATGGTTCGAATAAGCGGAATGAGTTTCATGAGACCTCAAGAGAGGAGATGGGAGTGCTGGGTGAAGCCTTGGCTTCTAGTTTGGGCAGTAGGGTAACACTATTCTCAAAACAGATTCCTACATTTCTATTGAGACAAAATAAAAATAAAAACAAAACAAAAGGGTGGGAAAATTCAGTCTCAGATACTAATCAGCCGTTCGTAGCAATTAATCGTCAATGGAAAGTGCATTATCCGCAGAATTCGTGATTTCTTAATTATTTTCTGGAGGGACAATCTACGGTAGCTTGATGTCACCGTAGATGTGCGGTCTTGGCAAATAGCCAGACACAGCTTACCCGAAGGCACACCTGTACATACTAGTGGTATAGTGGTACGGTGCTCGTGGCTCTTGAGTCTAAATTTTATCGCAGATAGGCTTGAGCCGATTGGCATGGGAGGCACCAAGTTATATCACAATTCATCGGAGGAATAGGGGGGTAAAATCGCTTTATAGCACAACTTTGGTGTGGTAGAGTGGTTTATATAGTATCATAAGGTTTGGATTATTTGGCAGTCACATGATTTGAAACGTAGAG